CATGCCAAATAAAAACTCTCACCCTGCTTGTAAAAGATTAACCAAAAAGGCTCTATTTCAATGCTTCTGTTGGCACTTTCGATTTTATGGTTTTTCTAGCACCAACAAAGTATTGGTGCAAACTTCGTATAATAATTGTTCCAGTCAGCAGTCATATTATTGTTTATTTGAGGCTGAATTTTGCAAAATTTAACCAACCTCTCTTGATACCATAGGTATATAAACCGTAAAACCAGATCTCGGCCACATTTATTTATACCTGCGTAGTCAAATGTAAATATTTTTTGCAATCATTGTGAATTGCCAATGCGTAGTTTTCAGTGACATATTGCATTCATTAACTCTTGAATTATCTTTTGCGACTTTTCGATGCAGATGTGGCTAATAAAAAAGAATCACTTTTAATTACGACATTGGTATCGTGGAATGCTGTGTAAATATCAAAGCATTCCTGAGGATTCACAGCTTGGGAAAAAGTATAAATATTATAATAAACAATGTTTATGTTAATTTAATAAGAAAAATAAACTTTAATTTTGAGACCCGGAGGCGCAGTGGCTAGCTCATTACAGCAGCACCACAGGTCCTGGGTTCGATTCCCGGGCTAGGCAAGGTCGACTCAGCCTTTCATCCCTTGATTTCCATCACTTGGATCGATAAAATAGGTACCAAGTTCGCTTGGGGACTAAATACTGGGGGGTCCTGCGACAAGCTGACCATTTGTTCAGGGCATATGCCTTACGCACCTCGGGGCCCACGGTCAAGAAAGGAGATTTCGGGCACTGCAGGCTTTGGCCCATTAGAGCTGTTACGCCACTGAGTTTAGTTTTTTAAACTTTAATTTTAAAATAAAAAAAATTTTTTGAAGTTATAAGAATAATTATTAATTTTGTCAAATAATTTTGTTTCATGGTATAGTTACTTCCAGTTACAAAATACTAAAAATTTTATTGTTATATATATTGTTGCATGCGTTTGGGTTCGTTATGAATTGAATGCACAAGTCCGATGAAAAATGAACAAAATTTATTATTATCACAAATAAAACAAAATGCTTAAATTTCCTCAGATATTCGTTCAGTATTGCAATATCTCACAGTAGTTATCTTGTAACTACTCAAATGTTCAACAGCTAGAGAAAGCTAATCCGCGAATTCGCTACAGTCAACAGGAGCAGTTTTCTAACCAAACTGTTAAAGCAACAACTAACTGCATTGAGAAGTTTTGCTCCTTTTTAGAAGCTTTTTAAATTACACACAAGATTGTTCTAGCAATTTCTCAAGATCAAAAAGAGATATTTATTTATTAAATGTTAAATGCACATGCTCTTATATTTTTAATTTTCCGTCTTAGCTTTCTTTTAATATTCGTTGCACGCTGCACCGCACGGGGAATAAAACAATTTTATTTATAATTCCACTAACTTTAACTATTTAAATACCAAATCCATAGCAATATGTATATGTGTAGTACACATTGGTCTGTTTTCACTTAATATCGGAGATTTGCACAAACTAGGCCCTTTGGCCATGTACACATCGATCTATATTCACTTAAAAAGTCAAAGGAGCAGCCAAAAAAATATATAATCCCAATAAACTGCAGTTTAAATTAGACAATATAATGACATAAAAAAGGAAATTCATCTGAGCACTACAGAAGGGAAGTATCTACTTAACCTTATTTATAAATTTCTCCGTCAGTCGAACAAAATTCCTTAACAGCATCCAAAAACTTACTAAAATTATCTGAACTAGAATCTGCATGCTGGTGTAACCACATAAATTCACAAAAATAAGAGTAATAAATATCCTCCTTAGTGCAGGTATCCTCCGACATTCGACCATACAAATTTCCTTCCTACAAAGAGGACACTTATAATGGCAACTATGTAAACATTAATTTATACACCAATCATTTAATGCTTTTTTCCCTTTTGTTCCAAATCGAACAGAAACTTCAAATTAATCTTACAACATAAAGCCATTTTACCATATAAATCATAAAATAACTTACTTCTTATCCAAAATCCGCAAATTCACCGCAATCACGCAACCATTTACGTCATAATAGGGTTTCTATAGCATTCAACTATTCAGGTTACCATAAATGAGACAGCAACTTGTCGATAAATGAAACAACTTAGCGATAATTCAATCTTCAATCTGTTCTAACTGAATCCAGTACCTCTGGCTGTAGACATGGCTGAGTGCAAAGGCATCAAGAATACATTGACAAAACTAGTTTCAGTGAATCACCATCTTTATTTTTACACATTTCAAATCATTTCCTTGGCAGACAAATAACTTTTCAATCATCGTTGAATACAAATAATTTTTGGTACTTTTCCATTTTTTGCCGGCGCAGGCAATTAATAATTGCCTGCACCGGCACCCGCAGGCGCCAATAATGGTACAACCGATGCCAAAAGGAATATCCTCGCTGGTAGCCTTTAAAGCCTCATTTTCAAAACAAGTTGCAGCCATTTCTTATATGATTGATTGTTTCTTTCAATACGGGTATACAATTACATAGAATTTTTACCAGATAGTTCAATTTTATGCCCTAAGGGCATTTGCAGTAATTAAGTCAATTAGGATGCAATCGCACTGCTCACCCAAAGCCGAAAATATGGAAAAGGCGAAGGTTGAAATTCATCAATTCTAATAAGAATGCACCTGCAAGGTTGCATTCTTATTAGACCTGAGTAAGCTATTCATATGCATTGAAATAATTCTTGCATTTAAACTTTTATTCCAAATTAAGATTTAACTTGAAATTAATGTAGATAATTACTGAGAGAGTTAGATTTTTGTAGCGTAGTTTAGGTGAGGGGGTCACATGATATGAACCGGCGAATCAAGATGTTGAACCATGAAAACACAGTAAATTCTTAAATTAATGTCTTTTTAAAAATTTATTGGCTTTTTACAAAATTTTAAACAATATTAAAATTTTTATGCCTTCAAAATAAAAAATTCTTAGAACATAGCTTTCATATTTTATAACATCTTGCACATATATATATTCGCTGCATTTTTTTAAACTTTTAGCTACATTTTCTTCCCAAATTTTGTTCAAACATTTCCTTTGCAAAAGTTTTTGTAACAAATTGCTTCTTTATCAGTGCAATGTAATTGATTTGTGAAATTTTCTTATTTTTAATTGTCATTGAATTTTCATATTATATATACTATATATATTAAAGTTTTCAAAAAAAAAAAAAAATTCCTTGGTCTTTGGAAGTAGTGGATTTATTTATTTATGCAATTTAACATTTAATTGAAGGTGCTTAATTAGATTATTTTTGAATGTATTAACAATTTTTACATATTTAAAATTCATTTTTCATTCATTATATACTGGTGTGCAAAAATTAAGGACGAAGTCGAAAAATTAGCATATCAGCTGAACGAAGAGGCAGAGCGGACAGAAAGACCAATCAGGAGATTAAGTAAGGTGATGTACGGTAGCACATGCGCAGATATGCAGGTAGACGTAATGGGGGAGTGTCTGAGTAGTATAAAGCATGCTGTTGGTGTAAGATCAGTATTTCTGGCAGAGAGATTGCACGCCGTATAGCAGTTAAAATCACACCGAGTTGCTTCCTCGGTGAGAAATGGCGAATAATCAATCTGTTAGACATCTGGATGCTTTTACCCGAGGTCGAATCATTGGGAAGTTGGAGGAAGGCCGCAGTGTGACAAGTGTGGCTGCAGAGTTTGGAATTGCTCACAGCATCGTTTCACGACTTTGGAGACAATTTCAAACTACAGGAACAGCTATCCGGGGGTTTAGTAGTGGTCGTCCACGAGGAACCACACCCACAGATGACCGATATAGTGCCTTACAGGCCAGAAGAAACAGGCGGCAGACAGCGGGAGAAATCGCTAGACACACGACACAGGCGACTGGACGACCGATATCGCTTTTTACCATGGCCAGAAGACTGCACGGTGGTGGTCTGTTTGCACGACGCCCTGTACGGTGTGTACCTCTAACGTCTGCCCATCGGAGAAGGCGTTCTCTGTGGTGCCGGGAACACCGGAATTGGAGAGACAATGAATGGGGACAAGTACTCTTTACAGACGAGAACAGATTCAGTCTGAGTAGCGATTCTCATTGCATACTCATCTGGAGAGAGCGGGGAAGCCGCAATCATCCCTCGAACATCATTGAAAGCGACAGGTATGGAGGTGGCAGTGTTCTCGCTTGGGGAGGCATCATGCTTGGTAGTCGTACAGACCTTCACATCTTCGACGCAGGTTCAGTCAACGGGACCCGCTTATTGTAACGAAGATTCTTCTTCCATATGTGCGTCTTTTTAGAGGCGCTATGGGTCCGCAGTTCTTTTTCATGGACGACAATGCACCATGTCATCGCACAGTAGCTGCCGAACAGCTCTTAGAGAGTGAGGATATTGAACGTATGGATTGGTGGGCATGATCTCTGGATCTCAATCCCATCGAGCATGTATGGGATTTTCTAGGCAGATGCTTGGCAGCTCGTACCTTACCACCAGTAACGATTCCGGAGCTTCGATTGGCGCTGCAAGACAAATGGGCAGCAATGCCTCAACAAATCATTGACACCTTCATTCTCAGCATGGGCAGACGCTGTGAAACCTGCCTAGCAGTCAGGGGAGATCATATCCCGTATTAAAGACCGGATGTTTCTTGCTGGACACCCAACACAGGGATGTTTCGGCCTTCAGTCGCATTGCGCTCCATGCTACTTTTTCAATAAAGCTTCTTTTTATCACTCTGATTTCTCTTTTAGTAAGTGTTGCTTACGTTACTCATGTCCTTACGTATTGGGGATCTTACGGTATTAAATGTGTTGATTTGGAAAGCTTTTGTACAAAGTTATATTGAAAAAACCGTCTCGTCCTTAATTTTTGCACACCAGTGTATATAGAGAGAAAGTATTGAAATGTGATTATTTTTCTTGCTGTTATTAATCAAATTTTTTTTTTTTTTTTTTTTTTTTTTTTTAAATAGAGCAAAGTAAAATCTGCTCATTGTTATGGCTGCTGAAAGAAAGGGTACCTTCAAGGTTCGGACACTACTTGATATTGAAAAGCAGATACAGGAAAAATGGGAAAAAGAAAATATTTTTGAAGAGGATGCACCTGCTGATAATGTTAAAATAGAAAAATATCTTGCAACTTTTCCATATCCTTATATGAATGGTCGTCTGCATTTAGGGCATACTTTTTCACTTTCGAAATGTGAGGTCAGTATTTATTATATTTGGTGTTAATCACCTTCATATCACTCTGTTTGAATTTTAACTCTTCTCATATATTCTAAATATATTTTATTCTTATTTATTGGAATTAAATATGTATAACTCTGTATTACATCAGAATTGCATGTATAAGTATGAAATTTCAAGCTGTAATGGTATTACATGTAATTCACTTAAGAGTTGGATTGCTGGTTATCTTGGTATAGTCTAATTAACACTAGTTTGTTCTGGATGAAACCTCTTTTGTTTGGGATGTTGGAAAAGTTAAATTAACAGTGAAGTACCTGTAGAGCAGCTAAAGTGGATATATTTATTAATAGCTTAACTTATTTGATACTAAGTATTTTATTATTTCTGAAATAAAATGCAAAGTAATTTTTTTTAGAGATGCAGTGAAATGGATGATTCATTTACTGATATGGTATTTCCTTGAATTTTTGCCCCCTCTCAATCATATTGGCCTAATAAGAGAATGTTCATAACAGTTTATGATTTTATAAATATTTTGTTATTAAATCTGTGTATTAAAATATTAGTTTTTTACAATAGTTCAACTTTTTAGGCATATCCATGCTTTTACAACATATTTTTTTTTCCTGTATATACACTGAAAACATTAAAAATAATTAGGTATGTAATAGTGTTATATGTGAATAAAATATAAGTACATAGCATGTTTTTTAAGCTTTGTTGTATACACTAATAGGTGGCACATGCGGCACAACGAGTGCTTGCGTCGTGTCCTGGCATTCCTTGGAAAATAGCTGTGCTCGGTTGCAGCTTTGTAGGTAATCTGTACAGTCTGTTCTGTGTCTCTAAAATGTTCAAGATTATCATATTGCCTGCCCCGTGTGAGGTACAGTCAGTGATACATTTTTTCTCAGCAAGACATCCATCTTCTACGGATTTGTAAAGTTTACAGAGCTACTGCCACGAGTGAAGGAAAAGTGTGTAATTTGATCAGAGACTCCAAAGCTGGCCACAACAATGTCCATGATGAGTCTTGCTCCGGTAGCCCATCTGTGATCACAGATGATATGGTGGCTTTAGTTGAAGCAAAAATTCTTGACTCTTGGCTCTTCACTATAACCACTTTTTCAGACAAATTTCCTGAAGTGGCTAGGTCAGTGCTGTACAAGATTGTTTCTAAAAAGTTGAGGTTTAAGAAACTTTGCTCCCAGTGAGTCCCTAATCTCCTAATGGTGAACCACGAAAACAAATGCTTTGAGTGTTCATTGAATTTTTTGGCTCGTTGTAACGAAGAAGATGACACCATGTTGAGTCATATCATAACAAAAGATGAAACGTGGGTTTCATTTGTCATGCTTGAATGAAAGTAATAGACGATGGATTGGAGACACACTCCCTCTTCTGTAAGGGTTGTAAGGTTTATGTTAATTTTTCTAACAGTTAATTTCCTATCTTCCTTAATTTTCAGCTTACAACTTCCGGCCAGAGCGTATTTTCAGATTGTGTATTTTCCGAATCAAATGAGGAGAAGTATTTAACTGTGAAATTCTACTGACTTCATGAGAGAGCAATAGATTCTATGCAGCGCACATTAGCCTTTTGGGTATACTCTTACTAAAGCTATTTCTACAATCGGCTGTACTTTAAGCCCTTGATAGCTTTGCCGTTAATTAGCGTTAAGGGGCCAAGTCTGTCATGTATTTGTGTTAGTGTCCTGGAATGTTTTAAAAACTATAATTTCTGCCACAAGATGACTAGTCAGAAGATGGCACTGTATGTCCATATGGTTTCTGCCACAAGATGACTAGTCAGAAGATGGCACTGTATGTCCATATGGTTTCTGCCACAAGATGGCACTGTATGTCCATATACCTTCTACTCGAAAATGAGAGAAGCATTACTCACATACACATGTTTTTGATTATATAAACAAACAGGGAACTAAATGTTTCCGAATGGTGTGATTTATTACGTCTCTTTAAATCGCACTTTATTCGCACGTGGTAGTTGTTTATTGTAAGTAGAAGTTGTTTTATATGCGCTAAAGCGTTGAGTATTTCGGTTTGCAGTTCAGTTTTTAGAAAATAATTAGATCTTGTTAGACGTGAATTCTTTCTGTTTTTACCGTTGCAATGTTGAAGCGTCGAAAATGTTTAACAGAGCATGAAATAGCAGAAATGATGCAAAATATTTCAGATATTGAGTCTGAAATTCTGATATTGATTCTGAAAGATTAACTGAAAGCCATTTTCCAAAACTTTGTTCAGAAGAGACTGATAAGAAAATGAGACGACGAAGCTTCGTTTGTTCACATTCCCGGAAAAATCCTCCAAAACGGCAAATGAGTTATTACGAGTGCAAGGAATGTAAAGTAGGACTGTGTGTAGATCCCTGTTTTAAAATTTTTCATACGAAAAGAGAATTTTAAGTACTATATTTAGTTTTTAGATGTATAATGTTAAAAGTCATAAAATGGTGAGTAATTAAAATAAAATGTGTAAAATATACATTTAAACAAGAAATAAGGTAATTAAAGTATATATATATATAAAAATATCTATAAAGCATAAGCCGTTTAAATACTCTATAGAGCATTATTAATGCGTTGATACTTCGGAAATTTCATGGATTTAGGCTTAGTAGCAAAAAAGCTCCCGGCCCTGGAGAGACGCTCGCGTAAGACACTGCCGGCCTCTGCGATAAGCGCGCGTTTTCGCTACCCGGCTCGAAGGGCTTAAAGTTACTCAGTGTTTTGTAGGTCAACTTTATGCGATGCAGATCGACCAAAAGTGCGGTGACCTGCAGCCAAACCCTTTGAAAGCTACACGGAGCTATTCAAAACAAAAGATGCTGCATGCTGACACAGGGAATTTAGCTAATCTCTAACAATGTAAGGCCTCACACCGCAGCTCAGACTCGAGCTTTATTGGACTCTTTTTGGCTGGGAGTTTTGGACCACCCCTCTACAGCATCTACAGCCAGCCTATAGGAATTTCATATTCTTAAAATCTTTCAGTTTTAGTTAAAGAGCCCAATTCTTGTCTTTCTTTATCCTTAGCTTTTAACCTGGGAGCGTGTGTGCTCGTACGAGTTACACAAGCACGTGCGCTGGGTCCAAAAGACCCGATTTGTGTTTTTTGAAGAAAATATTGTAATTCTTCGGAAAAAGTTTCACATCTGTGCCAATAATAAAATTATGATCAGATTTAAAAAGTATACACAGTAAAATTTTTAATTTCTCCAAATGCTTTTATGAAATAAAATTTCTTAAAGGAGTAGAAAATCTTATTATATATTAGCACAGGGGAAAAAATAGTATACTTCTACTCTGTATCGGTTCTTATTTTCTTTATCAGCACTATAGACACAGAGAATAAATGAAACTATAAGTGTTAACAGTGCATTGAAGAAAGTGTTTTTGGTATGTTCCAAATACAATTTTTTCGCGTTCGATGAAGCGTGTTTTTGTTTGTGCTTTTCTGATGGGCAAATACTGCATCTTCCCCCCCTTTTTTTCTTTCTTTTTTTGTTTCTGATAATTTTTTGTCCAATAAAATAATTTATATTATTCTCACTCTTGTTTTCAAAATCTATATCACTGTCTGAATCAGTATTATGTGAACTAAAAACTCGTAATCACTTCCATTATCATTTTCTTCAGTACATTCTTTGCCACTTCACCAGTTGATACATCTAATAACTTTCGCAAAAGTTCTTCATTGTAAGATAAATTATGCGACATGTTAGCCGCTTTTTAAACTATCACGAATTAACTATGTAACAGTAACATGAAAAGGCACACTGGGTCCAAAAGACCCAATGCAATCAAAATCAAGACTCCAAAACCCCAGCGAAAAAACTTCGGAAACATAAAGAGGTCGACCTAAGACACGACTACACTGGACCTCAACAACTTGCATGAAATAGGAGTGTTTTGATAAAGGTTTGTTTAATCACGCGGGTACATTGGACCCAGTGCACGCGCTCGCGGGTTAAAGGAAATGAAATTCAATTTCAAAATCTATCTAAATTTTGCCAATGTAAAAGGAGATCTCATGAAATTGAAATGTATGTGTGTGTGTGTATATATATAATAGATTTGGTAGATGGCTGTAATAAAATGGAGATAGTTTATTGCATTGATGTAACTTGTAAAGGCTATGCTGCCTTGATAGAAGGATGACACTTGCAGACAGACATAGCCATAGATTCACCAGCATAATTTTTAGCAATTCTTTTGTTGCAATATCTGATTTACAAATTATTATTGGTGCAATATGATGCTTTTTTTTTTTTTTTTTTTTTTTTTTTTAAACTTGATACATCTTTAGGCAAATGCAGAGAAGCAAGCAATGCAAAGTAGAAAGCGCATAGTTATCCAGTATGGTTGTTTAGTTAAGAGAAAGGTTTTGGTTTGAAATTGAAATTTTATTCAGAGATTGGGTAAAAGTTATCTGCATTGCACTGTTGTGTAAGAATTTAAATTCAGATTAATTTTGAAAGGATGCAGTGTAGTTTGCTATATTATAAACATAACTACTATTTTTAAGTTTAAAACAGAAAGGAAAGTACCCAAATTAAAATAAAGACTAAAGAGATCTTTAAAAAAAAAAAAAAAGATTCCAAGATTAGTGTCTAATTTTAGCATGTGCTTAATGCTTCACGTATGAGCTGTAGAGATTTTTTCATAATTGCATATTGGAGGTCCAGATTCTTAATTTTACTTCCGCCTTGTATCAAACATTTCCATGTTGAAGCAACACAATAATTTATTTAAAACTATATGTGAGTATATAAAATTTAACTTGTTTTGGTAACATGAACTAGTATTAAGCTCCTAACGGATGTTAAGCAAATTGTCACTGTGTCTGGACAGAACTACAAAGTCTTAATAAGGAAAAAAACTTTTTATTAAATCAAAACTGGAACATAAATGCACAACTTGCCATTCAGTCAACCACTTGTGGAAATTTAATGGTTGAAGTTTAAAATTAAGCTGGGAGTCAAAGATTAAACAAGTTAACCACTTGCGCTAAAATGACATGCCATGCACGTCAGGATGCTTTTGTCTCAAACCGCAGGTGACGTGAACACCACGTCGATAGGCATTTATCACAAAAATGAAAATAACGTGGTGCACATGTCGCCTAACAACGAGATTGTTTATTTCTCGAATTACAGCTCTGGATTGCACTTGCAGACGCAGAGCGACGTAAATGAGACACTTGTTATATTGTAGCGCATTGCACCGCAACCTTGAAGTTTAGTCATAGTGCGAGTGGTTAACACGAAGTTCACTCACAAATCCAAATCTAATTGGTGCAAGTATATAAATATCACCACTATAATGCGAAGCTGAGGAATGAAATCTTATCTGAGCTAACAAAAACCTAACAACATGGCCTCGAGTGGCAGAACATGCTCTGAATTAAACTCTCAAAAGCTTCCTTTAAATATTCTTTCTACCTCATTTACCTTCTCGTAGGGAAGTAGAAATGAGAAGTGGCAGTAGAGATCCAAAACATAAAGTAATTAATTGGGAAAAAATAATAGTAATGTAAAGACTGTATTTTGTTCTAACCAATTATTTTTAGTTTTAGAAACTTTCCCTTCTGACTTAAATTTCCTGCCAGAATGTAAATTTAATGACGTATATGCAAATCTAAGTGAGTTCGGAAACAGTATTTAAGCAGCAGTTTTATGAATTCGCAGTAGGAGAGTTAGTTAATAAGGACTTTATTTAGATTATGTTGATATTCTAGCTCGCCTTTGCGGTGTGCAGTCGATTTAGCAGTTTAGATAAAGAAGTTGAATACTACCTGAGGAATAATTTTTTATTATTTTTTGCTTTCAGCACCATGTGATTATTAACTCATAATAGCTTGAAAAGTGACTCATGCAGTAATAACTAAAGAATTTTTTTAAAAATATGATTAAATACCAAACAGCATTTTAACATTGTGTATTGACATTATGCTTAGCGGCAGTTACTGACTTCAGCCAATTATGCTATGAGTGTTAAGTGTGTTGACAAGGAGAAATTTAACAGAAATTTCTTTCCACGAAAAAAAAAAAAAAAAAAAAAAAATAGATTTTGTAAATGATATTTATAGGCTATAAAATTTCATTTGGGACTGTTTGAATTAGGAATAACTGATTTGTTATTGAAATTGTATGTGGGAATTTCATTGTTTGGGACTCAGAAAGCATATGCAGGAAATAAACATTAAATATAAGTGATTCAGGCTTGACTTCTACAGTATGCGATAGAAGAAAAACAAAATTTAGAGGAGCAATATGTCTTTAGTCATCAATCTCATAATGCATCGCCAATAGCGTATAAGCGCATGCCAGTTAAACATTAATTCACTTAACATAGCAAATTGAGCTGTTCCTTGACTTTCTTATTGGATCCCCTTTGTTATTTTTTTTTCAGGCTGTTATGGCATCTCACAAAAATTAAAATTACTTACGAAAGTGGAAGTCAACAAGAAATTATGTCTATCTGTGAAATTAATGTGAAAGTATAAGTGCTAAAAATGAAGCATTTTAAAGAACTTGCATTGAAAGAAATGTTTAATGAAACAAGCAAATATTTAGCATTTTTTGTAAATCCTGATTCCCTTAAAAGGTCATAAATGTCTCGTTACTTCATAAACAGTTATTTCATATTTTTGATTTGATAATTTCTACTGATAATTTCTAGATTTAAACTGATAATCTAAAATATCAGACCTTGTACTGCATATATATGCATATCTGAAAGTAGTTACAGAAATCTTAAAATTGCTAGTATTATTTTATAGTTTGCATAAAAAATATTTTTAAAAAAGGTAAAAATTGAAAATTATACTTAATAGAAACTTGAGAAGCGATGTACCACTAAGAGTCTACCAAAATTGCATTATATGAATAGTTTTTATCAGGAGCTGCATGCAGGTTTTATATTTGACTCATTTATGTAAATTTTTAATCTTAAAAATCGTCTCCCTTTTAGTCATCATCTAGCTATCATTTCGTTCATATTGAACGGTTGTGTGCCTTATATGCTTTTAAGGCATGGACAATCAAAGGACATATTCATGACGTAATGTTGTATGAGAATTATGCTGCTCATGAAAGTGATATTGCAAATTTTAGGCAGTTTACGTTTATTTAAAGCTTGATAAATGTAATCTGAAAAATAAAAAATGCAATGGCCGGTCATTGTCCACAGATATGGATCTCATCAAGTCAATAGGTGATGAAAATCTGCAACATATAGACATATAGTTCATGAACTAGCAAATACTTAGGAACTCCTTAATCAGATTTCGTCTTGACATCTGTACCTGTGTCTAAACCATGTTCTTAATATATCTGTATGCCTAACATGTGCCATAATAGTAAAAAGTGTTCCCCTTAGTCTCAGCAGCTCCCACCATGCACCTTCCTTCTATGTTCTGGTTCTTCTTTCAATGGTTCTCGTTTAGTATGGTCGATTCCCAGAGGACACTATGTTCTAAATGTAATCAATTCCCAGAGGACACAGTGCTAAGCTCTCTCCCCCTCCTTTTTTTTTTAAATTCCACCGATGAGATCCAACAGGTTGAAGAGCACCGTACCCAGTGGGCCAGCTGTCATTGGCGAAAAGAAGAGAAAGAAACTCCTTGAACAACAATTGTAGATTATCATTTTGCAAAGCTGTGCTGCATTAGTCACTCTGATGTGCCTTCCATTGGTAAAGAGCACTTTCTCTAGCTATTGTTCCATGTGCCACCATGTTTCAAGATATTAGTGGCTTTTGGATAAAATTCTGATCTCTTTATGGGAGTATTAGCCATAATAGGTATTTAATGATAGCAAGACCCTTTTGGAGTTTCAGACAAAAAACAAAAGCTTTTGTTTGCTATATAGATAAAAATGCCATTCTATATTTCAAATTACTCATTCATAACATTTATTCTAGTACAGTTGACAATGATAAGTGATAAAATGGATAATACAAATGTCGACTTACTTGTGCAAGGTGATTAGAAATTACTTGTTGGATGATAGAAGAGTATCACTGCTTAATCACTGCCAAATCAGTATCTCTGCTTAAATAAAAGCAGGTGTTTCTATGGGAATAGGTAGGACTTGTCCTCAAGTCCATTAAGTGTGTAAATTGCTTGCATAGACAAGTTCTAGACATTTTAATCATGTATTTGACTTTAATAATTTATATCAAATTTACTTGTAAAAGTGATTTGTTTGACAAGTGCATCAGGGATAATTGACTTCTCAGTGATTTTAATTTATATACATTTTCCTCTATTTCCAGCAATTGATTCTGTATGCTGCAAATTTAGTTTTACTTAATGTGTATTTTTTTAATGTAAATGAAACTTTATCATGAATTTTTATTTTTAGTTTGCTGTTGGCTACCAAAGAATGAAAGGAAAGAAGTGTTTATTCCCATTTGGCTTACACGCTACTGGCATGCCAATAAAAGTATGAAATTTTGTTTTGTGTGCAATGCATTGTATATCTTTTGCTTTGTAGTTCATACATGCACACACCCACACAGAATTTTTATTATTACTTATACATACTGTGTGTATGTAATAGCAAAAATTTTGTAGTGACTTTCAAAAAAAAAGGAATTACATGATGTATTCGGTGGTGATGAACTGCCCTCATAACATTGTCTCTATTTCTTCCCTAATTTGGATAAAATACAATAAATTCCGCGAATGCAGAGATAAGTACAATCACTGTGCCTCAATTAAGAGTTTGTTTCATGTAATTATAACTGGCAGTAGAAAAACGGTGAAGAGCATGAAATCCCTCTTTTAATGTCTGAAAAGAGCGATGTAGTATTGCTGTATTGCTATTGATTTATTTAAAGTTTCAATTTAATTCTAATCAGATAAAATATTTTACTCCTGTCCCCTCTTATGCAAGTACCATGCCTCATTATCATTGTACAAGAATCCTATGACAAGGGTTTATGTTGAAATGATGCATTTTAGAAAGATTCATAATCAGCTTGTTGCTATTTTTAGAATAGAAAGGGAAAATAACCAAATTAAAAAGGAATTTGGAAAGCTGATTTGTAATAATTTTAAGTAGCATTCGTTTTAATTCACTGTTAAATGTTTTTTTTCCCTTTGTTTGTTTAAAAAAAATATATTAAAAAAGATGGAAAAGAAAATAAAAGCAGGTGAAACTGTGAATGATTACATTATCATACCATAACAAAAGTAATAGCAGGTACTAATTAATTCACATTCTGAGCTTAAAATTGGTAAAGCTTTATTTAAAAGAAAAAAAATCTGAAAGTTTTCAGATTTTATATTATGCACAAAGGCGCATTTTGTTTTTTTTTTTTTTTTTTTTTTTTTTTTTTTTTTGTTTACACACACATACACATTTTAAGAGCATTTGGGCTAAAAGTTTTTAAAAAACAGCGTATCTTTACAATTTCTGATAGACAGTCTCACACACTGGAGATGAAAATAAAATATTTTATTCCATACAGTGTTGCCATTGCTCGCAGTAAAATCATTGAGTTTGTCAATTAAAATTTCGCTAAAGTTTTACAAAACATGAAATAGACAATAAAACAAATTCCAAATTTGGCCTTCTAGTTGCTCATATTTGGTGGATGAACATTTAATGAATGATAATTATTTTATGTTTTTTCTTTTAAACTATATGGTATTTCTCCCGCTTTTCTAACGTGCCTTCGGGGTGTAGTGGTTTGTACGCTGGGCCGGTATTCCAGAGGTCCGCGGTTCGATTCCCGGCTATGCTAATTTTTCAACTCTTTGGCTTTTCTAATTAACCTAATGTCTCTACAGTGGTGCCTGAACTAAAAGGGTGTTGGATGATGATTCTCCTCACCCAGGATTTGGCGAATGGGTCCCCTAAAAACCCCAGTCGCCCTTTAAAAGGGGGAGTATATAATGTATTTCTCCCACCTTCCTAGCATGCCTTCGTGGTGTAGTGGTTTGCGCGCTCGGCCAGTAATCCAGAGGTCCGCCGTTTGATTCCTAGCGAAGGATTATAGGCGTTTGCTAATTTTTCATCTCTTTGGCTTTTCCAATTAACCTAAAGTCTCTACAAAACATTAAGTCTTTCACAATTAATTCTATTTTTAATGTTTTTACTTAGTTCTTTAGTTTACTTGATTAATGCTTGTTAGTATGCTCTAACATGTAATTTAAATATTTTTCCTTTTCAATAGTGTTAAAGATTACAATTTTTCTTACTATTCCTAGGAGATAATTTTTATTTTTGTTTTTATAAATGAATTTTATTTCTTACTCTGCAACCTCAGCTCTGGTATTAGACTTTAGTACTTCAAAATTACCTTTTTATTGTTTTTGAATATATATGTGTGTGTAATAAAAATCAAATATAGAAGTACTGATGGCTAAGCTCCAAGGTGACATATTTGAAGGTAGATCCATATTAAAAAGGAAAGTTGGCAGTCGAGGTGGATTAAATTCCATTTTTATTTAAAATGAGATTTGTGGCCCCAGTTTACTTAGCACTCTAATCATACCTATTCAGGATCATTTACATTTTTGATACTATTGTGATAGAAAGAAAAACGTAGCAAAATAGCATCTAGACAGCACAGAAGGTAGAAGTGAAGTGCCCATGTATCCAGTATGGAAGAGAAGGTTTAGGTAAAAAAGGTTTCAGTTACTGAAATTATGAGTTCTAGTTTCGAATTAGTTACATCATCAGCATTATACAAGCCATGTGATGTAGATTAATATAGAAATGGTGCAATTCAGAAATGTTATTACTACTTTTATGTAGTTATTATGTATTACTACTTTTATGTTATTACTACTTTTATGTAGTTATTATGTACTTTTATGTAGTTAAATGTTATTACTACTTTTATGTTATTACTACTTTTAGAATAGAGAGGGAGAATTGAGGGGTTACGCCTGATTACGTGCATGAGGGCAGGACTAAAGCAGATGGATTACTACTGGTCCAGTTTTGCCTCTTTTGCTCATTATAAGTCAGTTGCATCACAGCATCATCAATCGGATACTTATGCAATCCATCAAATTAACTAATAGCCAAATATACCAATGGACCAAAGTCTCAGTCATGCTTGCCAACTGAATGGGCTTTATTTATGTGACATGGTAAAATTCTAGAATTTTCTTCCATAATGCTGTCAAAGAACTATGAAGCAACTAAGGTTTGCTCTTCGAGATCTCAGTATTGGCCAAGGAATGAACTTTCAGTTTCGTAGTGAAATCTTGTTCTGTTCCTGAATTCTGTCTGGGACATTGTCTGAATTCTGAATTTCTGAATTCTGTCTGGGACATTGCCAGCTGAAACATCTTCAAACTGCTAATTGCAGTTGGCTCTAAACAACATTATCAAATGATACTATTAGACCTTAGTATCTGAACCAGTCATTAAAGAAGGTCTTTGTGGTTAGTAAAAATCTGGGTGATAAATAAATGTGTTGTCTGTTTGAGCTCTATATGAAACTTTTCATTTACATAAAACACAAAGATTTTCTGTTTAAAATTTTGCTCTTTACAATCAGAGAAAAATATTGAGCTTTTTTATTCAATATAAAAAGGAAAAATTCAATTAAAGCTTTAATTTTTATTATGAATTTTATAAATATAAGATTTTTCCAAGGTATTAAAATTAATGTCAAATTTTTAATTAAGACACATAACTATGCTTATTTATCATAAGATAACTGTTTTAATGAGGTTTAAAAATTATAATTTTATTCATTGGGTTTCCATTTGGCTTAGGCTTGTGCTGATAAGCTAAAGTGGGAAATAGAGACATATGGTTTTCCACCTAATTTTCCTAAAGAAAGTGATGGAGACAATCCTGAAGAAATGGAAGAAAGCCCACAGCTGCCTGCTGATAAAGCTAAAGGCAAAAAGGTATATTTTTGTCAATATTTATTTATTGAAAAAAATTAATATTGAAAATAATTATACTTAGTTACTTTGCTATAACATTATTTTTGTTTTTTCAAATTTTATCATGCAGCATTTATTTATTTATTTTCCTCTTATATTAATCTTTTTAATATCAAAAATATTGACAATAGACCCCCTAAAAATAAGCAAATAATTTTCTTATTTTATTAATTTTATATTCCAGTGTAGTGGTTAAACCAGTTATTTTTTTAATTATTATTTTAATTTTTTAATAAAAAGCCTGTTTTCTTTCACACTTTTAATAAATACTTTTAATAATTAACCACACTTTTAATAGTGTTCTTATCAAGGTTTTCAGAACATCATATTATACTGCCAAGTATTTAATCACTACTTTGGCTTAGTATCGCCACTGTAACTACATTGCTCTTTCTTATTCTAGTGACTAAAATGCCTTATGTCATGAGTGACCAAATTTGACAGCAGTCATTGAAGACCATAAATATCAGTCCGTGTCCTTCATTTATGAATATAGTGCCATACTTCTGTTTTGCTCAATTTTAATAATTTATCTAAATTTACCTGACTGTCACAGTGGTGTTCTCAACTGCAAAGTTAAAATGTCACCACCAACCAACAGCTTTGATGGAAACTAGTATCCTATGTTTTAATTTTTGGTTTTTAAATTTAATTAAATTTACTCTGCTGTCTCCCATTGGTGACTTATAGATTGACTGTAACCAACTGACTCTCAACCATAGGCCACTGGTGATATTAATAGGAATTAATAGGCACTTCTAACAGTCTAGACAAAAATCAATATATTTCAATTTTCATTTGAAAAATATATACACACATATACACTGCCTCATATTAGTGACTTATGAGCTGACCAAAGTGATTACAAGCCGTAAGGTTAGAGATGACCTATAGAATTGAAGGGAACTGTTGTCCTTTAATTCTGAATTTTAAAAAATATTTTAGTTTACTCCACTGCTTTATGCTGGAAAACAGTGGGGTCACCTGTAGTGATTGCGAAGTATATGTCGCTGGTGACCAATAACCTTGCCAAGGAGTGATCTGCTCTGATAATTTGTATGTTAACTGGAAGTTATTATAAGCCTGTAAATAGCGGGTGCCTGTGCCCTTGATGATTCAGTTTAATTAATTTTAATAATGGGCCTGGGTGATGCAAATTTAAATGCATAATAATGTATCTAAGTTGCAATTAATTTTTATTAACATTTGTAGCATTATTTTAATTAACCAGGGATTTTCCTAATGTCTTATATTTTGTATCTAGTGCAGAATCATTTGGGTTTATATCCTCTCACATAAATTTTATTCCAAAGATTTCACTTTAATTGCTATTTAAACTGTGTATATGTGCTAAGTTCCTTTAAGTTGAAAAGGATGATAGTTCCTTTAAGTTTTACAATTCAAACAGCGTCTTTATATTTCTTGACGGATAAACTTATTTGCACTTCACTGTCATTACATTTTGTTGAACATTACAAGTTTTTTTTTTTTTTTTTTTTTTTTTTTTTTAATGCTCTTTCTTAATCTTATGGCAGTTATACTGTAATGAACACTACTTGTTCATGTATTTACATTATATGATGACAAAAGATACAAGCAGCTTCTAACAAAATTCTATTTATATATGACATAATAAGTTGCTTTTAGTAAAAAACTGAGTTTGTAAATTATTTTTTCCTTCTTATTGTATGCCTTTGTGTAATTGGAAGCACGTCTGTCTAGCAGTCAGGAAGTCTGGAGTTTGAATCCTGGTGGATAATGTTTTTGGTGAGATTTTCATGTTTCTACTCCATGAAGTCTAAATAGCTGTAAAAGTGACTCTTGAGCTAGAGTATGGGAGATAATGATTTATCACCACCCCAGTTTGGTGATTGGGTCTCTATCTCCTAAATTGCTGTGTAAGCATGTGCATAGGGGGAAATGTAAGGTATTTTCTCCCCCTTATTGCATGCCTTGGAATAATTGGAAACATGTACAGCTAGTCATCAGGAAGTCTAAAGTTAAAATCCTGGCAAGGATACTCTTGTTGGCGAGGTTTTCATATTTCTGCTCCAACAAATACTTTACTGCTGTACATTTAGGGTATATTACAATTCATGCACTTATAAACGGGGGGGGGCAGAGAAACTGTGTGGACGTATATCAATAATAATGCATACGTAAGTTGGCAGTTATTTATGCACTCATAAACAAGAATAGACTGAAGCAACTTTTTCTAAACCTGGTTCTCATATAATAATATTATATGAGAAGTTTTCAAATGAAAAGGTAGGAAATGTTGTAACAACCAAACTGATGAAAATTTGAATATGCCACTTTGGGATAACAAATTGAGACATCTAGGGACACAAATGTAGTGACTGGCAGGATTGTACGCATGCATGATGCAGGAGAAAAGGAGGTAGTTGTGTGTCTCGTCCAATTGATGCAGCACGGTGTGTGAGGACATCATGGCTTTCACAATGCAAAATTTGGAGATTGAGGAGTTGTGAGGTGTTATCATATTTCTGACTATGGAAGGGGTTAAACCGGCCAATATTCATCTCTGTGTGATGGCTGTATATGTATTCATCTCTGTGTGAAGACTGTGTGTCTGTCAAGTCAGTGAGAAAGTGGCGTCCCCAATTGAATGATGACCCAAGACCAGATCAGGTAAATGTGTTAATCATGGCCGAACTCATCAACAAGGTAAATGACCTAGTGGGAAGTGACCGGTGTGTAACAATGCAAATGTTGTTGGAACAGTGTAGACATTTGTGCATGACAGATTGGGTTTCCGAAAGATGTGCACGCAGTGGGTTCCGAAAAAGCTCAGTGAACCACAAAAGAAAGTGGGGGGAATTTCAATGCCTGTTCCGCTTGAATGCCGGGCTTTCCTTTAGCAAATTGTTGCCTGCGACAAGAGCTGGTGCTATCGCTTTGAGCCAAGGCAAAGTAGAACAGCATGCAATGGAAGCATGCATTGTCACATCCGCCTAAAAAATTCAAAGCTGTGCTGTTAACAGTCAAGGTGATGTTCACTGTCAATTTCGATATCCATTACTCATTAAATTCCTTGAGCATGTAAAAATTGTTAACAGTTATATGTACTGTAAGAAAATCCGCAATCAATACAAATCCACCTCGCCAACAAGAGCAAACTCTTGGGCTGCTTGCAGAGGGAGTGATACTGCTCCATGATAATGCACATGTACGCATCTCTAAGGTCACACAAAGTATAATGCCCAAGTTCAAGCGGGATCAGCTTGAGCATCTGTCCTACAGCCCAGACATGTCGTCCTCTGACTTCTAATTGTTTGGTCCACTAAAAAAAATCCCAAAGTGAGCCGCTTCAACTCGGGCAATGAACTGAAGGACTAGCTCCTGTCACAGCCACAGGAATTCCGGGTACAGGGAATCCTTCAGATCCTAAAACAGTGGGATAGTTATACTCATGCCTCTGCTGGTTACTTGTGAAAAAAGGTTTCTATTATACCCACAGTGTCATTTTGTACCTTTTCATTTGAACACCCATCGTAATTTGGATCATTATTAATCTTAATAATCTGATAACTTGAACTGCGCATCTACTGGACTAGCAGTTGAATTTTGCTTTCTATTATCTGGCATTAATATATAATATACATGAACTAAAATATTTTTTTAATCAGAACTTTGTATTGTATGCTTAAAAAATAATTTAAAATTCTCTGTGAATGGGAGAAAATTTCTATCCTTTTTTATTCACATTTATCAAAAGATTAGTTTGAATTAATTTTTATAACTATATTTTGAATTCACTTGTAATATTTGAGGTTTAATTTTAGAACAGTCAAATTAGAAATTTAATACTTTTTTTTTGTGTGTGTAAATTTAACAAAAATATTAACTCTTTACTTCTCATTTCCATCAATATGAGGGCCTGAATTATTACTTTATGTTATTTCTCATGCCTGTGATATTACTAGGCTTAAAACTTAGAGAAATTAAATTTCTGACATTTTATATCATAAAATTAGAACTAGATAGCAGTGTTCTGTGATTTTAATCACATATTTCATTTTGGTTTCTCTTAATTATGGATTTTCATCTTCAGTTAAAAATGTAACTACTTTTATATGGTTTTCATAAATGTTACTGAATTTTTTAAGATATTAAATTTTCATAAAATTATGTAATGATGAAACTGTTTTCAGAGTAAGCTGGCTGCTAAATCTGGTACTGCAAATTACCAGTGGCAAATAATGCAATCACTGGGACTTAAAGATGAAGAAATCAAGAAATTTTCTGATGCAGAGCATTGGTTACAGTATTTTCCACCTTTAGCTATTAGTGATCTGAAATCAATGGGTGTTAAAGTAAGGAAGTAGTTTTTGTATTATTTTTCTGAAGTTATGATAATTATTTTATATGCAGTGTAATATATTTTTTATATGAAAATGGTAAATTAAAAAAAGTCTTGTCTATCAAACCTGTGTATGTATGTGCTTCTATGTACAAAATGTAACAAATGAACTGTATAAGTATGCAGTATGCAAAATTAACATTTTATGTATTGCAATAAACATTAATTAGAAAAATTCCAATTTTTTGTAAAAATACTAGAATAATTTAGATATGTATTCCTATATATAAGATGTGCCCATAAGTAACTGAACAATTTCTTATAAACAAGAAAAAGATTACTAACGTTAACCTAAATTTATCTCCTTCAAAATAACTGCCAGGGAAGTCTCATAGGTGAAATTCCGCATTGGTAGCAAGTATGGTAGTTCAAAAATCAATATCACCTGACATAAGCAAGGTCGTTTTGAAATTTCACGAATGGCTGCCAGCAAGGAACTGCTCTGTCTACTCACAAATTTTTCCCTACGGGATGAGAGGGAAAAGGTGGTAGTGCTATCGTTTTGATCTATCTGCTGTCTTAAGAATTCTCCACAGAACTAACTATTCGCAGAATATGCATTACATTTGATTTAATACCCAAGACATTTTCAAATCTCTGTCCTTTCATAACCATCTTAAGCTTCAGAAGAAGGAAAAAAAATTGCACCTGATAAGTCAGAAAAAAAATTGTGGGTGATTTATTACTGCAGTTGAATGCTTAGCAAGATATTATTGTACAAACAATGCTGTATGCAGTCTAGCATTACTGTGTAAATGAAACCATTGCCCAGAGTCAAAAAATTCCTTTCTAACTCATCTCATCCCATTTTTTTAATTAAAAAAAGCAGCAGTCCTTTCCTCTATGTACTTTGTCTTTTTATTTTTGAATTATGTTGAAGACACTGGGTCTCATCTCCCATTGTGATACACTTTAAGAAGTAGTTGCCCTGTTTCACAAAAAACAGCAAATCTTCACAGTAAACTTTTCTGTCTTCTTTTTACTGCTTTGTCAAAATCTAATGGACAAATCAAGCACTTCTTTTAATGTTAAATTGCAAGGAGGGTCGTTATTAACAATGCATTAAACTGGTAAAAAAAGTAGGTACTTTTCCAGTAGCCAGGCACAAGTGATAAATCACCAAATATCTTTTTTTTATTTCTTTAGTTTATATTTATGTATCTTAAATTTGTGGGAAAAAAATTATTTTCTGAAAATGAACTGTTTTTAGCCCAAAGGGCTATTAATTTCGCTTTGGCATATTGCATATATTATCTTGTACGAAATTAAATAATGAAGAATCTGCATAAATGTAGGAATGTTTCTCGCATTGTGATAAAACAGCACTACCTAGAGCCATCAAAATTTGAATAACGTAGTCCTCCACCCAAGTATGGACATTTGGAAGTCCTAATTTGGAATTTGTTTTGTTATCTATTTCATACTTTGTAAAACTTTAACAAATCTTTGATTAACAAGCTTAACAATTTCAAAGCGAGCAATGGCAAAACTGTAAGAAAAAAAAAAAAACATTTTTATTTCCAGCACTCAAGACTGTGTATTGGGAATTCTAAAGATATGCTGTTTTTAAATTATGTGATATTGCTTTTGAATTGAATTTTATGGTTTAAATGCAAAGAACATGATATTTAATAAATAAAGGTAATGTGCAAAACATTAAATAAAAGCCCCTTTGGGCATAATATAAAATTTGAAAACTCTTAATCATTTTTGTTTTGTTTTTATTTGCTAAATTGCCTATGGTATTGATTTGTTGCTCTGTTGTCAAAACAAAAAATCTGATGGCAAAATTTGCACTTGGCTTTCTCTACTCGTAAAGTAGTTTTCATGTACAGAGAAATGTGGAGCAGCCATACTGTTCAGCAAATGCAATGATGTGTAATTTGAAAGTTGCTGTTTAAAATTTCTCTTCCCACTCTTCTTTCAGACCAAAAATAGTGTGGCATAGAAACCAAGCCTAGCACAGTTGTCACATATTGTATACAATACTATAAATGAATGGAAAAAATGCAGATAATTTCAGATAGGGTGATTTGAATTAAATCTGTTGTCATTAGCATCTTTCATTTCACCTTATAAAAATTTTATTGGAAAATATTCGACCCACTTTACCTGCTTGACAACATTTTCTTTCTCATGGCAACATACCTGAATGTTACAGTAACCCCCACCCCATTTTGTCTGATGTACAGGTTTTAAATTTCAGGTACAGTTTTGAATAAAAAGCACATTCTTGGCCTATATTCAGAAATATATAGTAGTTTAAACTAGCTTTAGCAAGAGTAAAGATGTCACTCTTTCTAAAAATATATTTATTCTTTAACTTTTTTATTTAGTCATTTGATCTTTTAATTTATCTGGTTACTTGTATACATGCATCTTGTATTTGTGTAGCCCCTACTTTTTGATCAGTCTTCTATCATTTTTAATGGCAAATTGAATTTATTCCATAAAACTTTGCTACGTATTCTATTAAATATATTGACTTTACAGAGATGGTTTGTACATCAATATTTTATTCCATTTATTGTGGTATTTTTATTAGAATGACTATTTTATAAATTGCAAGTATAAGATTATGAACTAAAAGCATAATTTATTTCCAAACATACTAATAAAAAGTGCATTATGAGCTTTTCATTCATTCATGCTTTAACTTTCCTCTTGCTAACACAACTCAAAACACTTAGGGGATTTTATGACTTTGGAAATAAACTGCAGATGAGGAAATGTCTTGGTGACTAATATGTGATGTATATGTATAGTAAGATATGTGAAAAGAAAAAGTAGCAACTGACAAGGAATAATTAATTCACTTTTATTGACGCTATTTGTCAGTAAATAAAAAATACATAATTTGTGTATATCATACAAACAAACAAAAAGGTGTATTTCTTGACAAAAGTAATATCGCACCCTTGTTAGGCATGGAATCAGTGGGACTGGGGCATTCTCTTCCACTCCTGTAGAAGACAGCTTTCAAATTGCTGAATTATTTCTAGGACTGATAAGCAATTAGCAACCCTTCTCTGTGCAGTGCCCCAAGTATGTTCTATTGTGTTCAAATATAGAGAACATACTGCCCATCCATTCAGAGGATTCCTTCGTCGAAAGGGAATTTGTCCACTAGCTGATCACTATGTAGCCTGGTATTATCATCCATAAGAATGAATTTATTCCCGATTGCTGCAGTGTAAAGGACCACAATAGGTCTGAGGATATTAACTCCTATTTTGCTGAACTGTTAGTACTCTGTTCTTGATAATGTGCAGGTTAGTGCAACCGATAATGTGCAGGATAGAAATACTGGGCCAGACCATCACTCTGCTTGCGCTAAATCCAACACTTCCAGGTACAGATGCAGGAATATTCTGTGTACCAAGTTCTTTCCAGGTGAGAATCCACCTATTGTCAGGGTGTACACTAAAGGGGGACTCGTCTGTGAAGAGCATGTTGCTCCACTCATCTCATTCCCAACTGGGATGCTTTAATACTGGGATACTCAACTGGGATATTCCCTAATTGTCCATCTTCTGTGGGCAGCACGGTGGTCCAGTGTCAACAAAACACTAACCATACGTCTGTGAGCACACAAAACCTGCATGGTGGTGTCAGTTTCGAACAGTGTGAATCAAAACTCTGGTACAAGTAGCTTACTATAGAAGCGTTTGCAAAAAAAAAAAAAAAGTGTTCATAGTGCCGTTTCTTCCGGCCTTTGGTGTTAAATACGGATTCTTGTATTGTAATGTTGCAGGCATGCTACCTTGTCCTGTTCTTCGGCAAATACTTCCAGTTTCTGAAAACCGATTCCGTAGTCTGGAAATAATACTTTGAGAAACTCCTGACGCTTTCTTTATAACAGATTGCTTTTGACCCACCTCTAAAATAACAATGGCTCTCCAGGCCACCGATTCAGCAAAATCATCTTACTGAGACATCATATACATTGTTACAAAACATTCAAGTTGTATCTATTATTTTTAATTTTCTCGTATAAAAAGGAATGCTGCAGATCGCTTTTCACCCCTTATTTAAAGTGCGAATTTTTCGACGTCGCAGACAAATTTTCATATTCCTAACTTTGTAAACGATTGCATTTTCCTTTTTAATCTCTTTTGTCTCATTTTTGTTAAAGTTTTCGATAATATGGTTATTTCATACTGAACTCGCAATATTCCCTAATTGTTTTGAGCAGTGTAGTTCCTGATTTTCAGGTATCTATTCTTTGCATTAATACTAGTATTTATTGCTGTATGTATAACATGAATTTTTAAACATATTTCAACAATTTAGGTAGATTGGCGCAGAACATTCATAACCACAGACTGTAATCCGTATTATGATTCTTTTGTTCGTTGGCAGTTTATTAGACTCAGAGAAAGAGGAAGGATTCAGTTTGGAAAAAGGTATCTTTTACAGCTTTATCATTAAATTAGATATAAGTTAGATGGTAAAATTATTTGAAACCAGCACTGTGTTTTTTTTCTTTTCACGAGAGACATATTTACTACTAAAAGAAGCACTAGATCAACCATATTTAAACTAAAGCAAATGCAATTTACTAAAGCTTTTGATTTTCACTAAAAAATCTCGGCTTCAAATGACTACAGAAAGAGAAAACATCTGACTCCTTATTCCGCAAATTCATTCAGGTTGGAAGTGCACTATAATAGCATTCTTTTTGATATCTGCATTGAATACAATCCATCCTCTTTTCCAGAATATTTACTTCCTCAAACATTCAACCCACACACATATTATTCCCTTTATCCCTTGTCAGTGCGGTTTACCATCGTTCAAAAGGCTAAGGCAAATGTTTGAATAAGTGGCCTCAAAAGATAAAAGCATTGCACATGGAAAATACGGTCTATGTAAACTGTAGTATCTTTTATATAGTGTAACATGAAAGGCCTCAAGAGTTATGATGCATTGTTGGAAAAACAGAGTTACAGAGGTAATGTCCATTTAACATTGGGGTAAATTGCTATTTCACCAAAAACACATTTTTTTTCTATCAAACTTTGTGACTATTTGGTGACATTTTGGTCTGATCCCTCTGTAGCTGTGTATGCTTTCCAGCAATTTTGAGAAAATAAAGGTACTGGAAAATTTTCGAAGAATGGAGGAAAATTGTATAAGACCAAAGAGAGCATCAGTTTTCAGTTGAATGCAGCATTGAGTTCAGACTATTGAGAGAGAACTGAGCAAGCTCATGCATTTGATGCTTTTTGTAACTACTAATTGTGCTCAGTCAAACTTAGAAGAGTTACACGAGTACTTTTGTATGAAGAGATCCAAAATTGTAAAAGGTTTTTGAAAAAATAGATTTCATCAAGCTGTCATCAGTTTTGTGTGCATTCAATCCATTTTTGATTTTTTAATCCATCTTTTGATGTTCTGGAACTTTTGTAACTCTCATAAAGTAGGTCTTCATTTGCATGAAATGAAAATATGAAAAATCAAATCTTGGACTTGCTATTTATTACTAGCGAGTTAAGTGTAAGTTAACTTATTAGTTATTACTAGTCAATTAAGTGTTTTATTATTACACTGAATTCTTGATTATCTGTGTGTCATTCAGTATTGTTTACAATAGTCTTTACCTATTGATACTTAAGAAGAAAAACTTCAGTATTTAAAAAATAATTGAAACATATATAAGATATTTCTCCCGCCTTCTTAGCATGCCTTCGTGGTGTAATTGTCAGCACACTTGGCATGTATTCGAGAGGTCCGTGTTCGAGTCCCGGCAAGGGCATTGCTTATTTTTCATCTCTCCTGCTTCAAAATAACCTAATGTCACTACACATTGATGTCTGATATAAGAATTATCATACCCTGCTAACTACAAAAAGGGACAAAAAATTGTATTTGAAAGTGCTTTGTGCATTATGGTTTTGCTATTAGTTTTTCATATTTCTGTTTATATACAGTCCAAAACAGTTGTAAATGTGACCCTCACCCAAAATATTGGTTCACTTCCTGATTAGAAGGAAGCATCTCGTGTTATTTTTGTGAAATCCGTATAGCAGCTGTCAGATGCACAAGGATATTTAACTGTAATCCATTTCTTAAGACTTCTTTTGAATTAATTGTTTATGGTATGAAGGGCTATTTATGAATAACCCATGTTTTCTTATTATTTTTCCGTTCATTAAGTACAGTAGATAATCAGGAGCTCAGCATTCCTTTTAAATGGTTATAAACTAGTAAGAATAGTGTTCATTTTCCTAATCTACTAAATTGTGTGTTCTGTTTTTGCTTGTCAGGTACACTATATTTTCTCCTAAAGATAACCAGCCATGTATGGACCATGACCGAAGTTCTGGCGAGGTAAGTTATATTAAGCTTATTGTGTTAATATATTTTATTAGTACATATATCTTTTTTTACTTTTAACATTACTGATTTTAAATTAAATCTTGCAGGGTGTTGGACCTCAAGAATACACTCTAATTAAAATGAAAGTTTTAGAACCTCTTCCCCAAAAACTTAGGTTAAAATTTTGAATGTCTTAGCATGTTATGAAATGATGATATTGCAATGCATAATATTTTTTTAACTTTCTTTTTACTTAAATAAATTTCCTACTGTTTTGAATAAAATATTTTTAAAAAGTAAAAAAAAAAAAAAAAAAAAAAAAAAAAAAAAAAAAATTAAAAAAATTGTTTATTATTGTTGAAGATACTATAAAAAATCTTTAATAAAATTTTATTGTTTATTTCTCTTGGATGGATTTAGTATACTGATTAAATTGTAATATAAAATTGTGTGTTAAAAATCAAAAATACTAACCACAATACAAATAAACACATATTTAAATCTTTTTTACAGTAGTTTTACAGGGTTTTCTGTATTTCTGATTGCTGCAACACTGAGACCTGAAACTATGTATGGCCAAACAAATTGCTGGGTGAGACCAGATATGAAGTACATAGCATTTCAAATTTCTAGTGGGGACATTTATATCTGTACAAGAAGAGCAGCTCGTAACATGAGTTATCAAGGATTCACAAGTGAAACTGGCAAAGTATCTGAATTAATAGAGTTGGAGGGTAGAGTAAGTATTTTTCTGAGTAATGTTGTGAAATTAATCAACTTCTTTTTGTTTTATCAGGGACTTGTTATCAATCACCAATGATAAATGTTAAATTTATTTCCCTCTTTTCTCATTTTCTTATCCTTCATTGAACATCTAGGCAAAGCACTTCTTAAACGTCACATCGTTCAATTTACTGCTATTAAAAATTTGAAAATTTTGGCAATAACTTTCAACTATCCGAAATTCTAGCATTAAAAAAGTAAATTTTAGATATTGTTCACTAAGGTTTACTTACCTAATACTGATCAAGCCATATATATGTGTGTGTATGCATGTGTTCAATAATATTTTTTCCAATGTCTTTGAATATATATACTGTATGCATGCATCTTGAAATGTATCCAAAGCATTGACTGCTTGTGCTGTTATTCTGAATTAAATCCATTGTCGAAAATAATTAACATGAGTTAACTCGTGATCTATGGATTGGGACAGACTCCATTAGGTTCATTGGCAGAACATTTTTATTTATTTATTTTGAGTAAGCTCGCAATGTGTTTTACGGTTATGCTGTTGACCTTTACAGTGTTTTGTTTATAAGAAAAGAGTTTTGTGCCATGCTTCTTTAGGCTCAGCATCCGGGCAGCCATCCACACACATGTGAGCCTATTTTTATCTCTGTCAAACAACGCATTGGGTTAGTAATTCAGTCTGTTTTGCAATTTGGTGGGAAATGCACTAATTAGAGCATGTAAATCCGCTCATAAACACACTATTTTTTACAGGTTGTAACATGCCTTTATGTGTAGTGCCATGCTTCAGGGTCTACCACACTGTTTCTAACTTGAACTAAAAATTTTTTTATATTTTATTTCTTTTTTAGTCATATCTTTCACATTTTCTCTGTACAGATAAATATTCAATTTATGATTATTGAAATTCAAAATTATTTTGAAATAGTTTTTCATGTTCATTCTTTATAAAAATGTATTAACAAGTTAACTCAGGATAATTATTTACCATTTATTTTGCGACAGAAAAATGTTTAAAAATACAAAACTTTGTAAAAATATTTGTAGAATCCTTCCTGTCTTGTTGCACAAATTAGTACATAGTAAGTACATAGTAAATTAGTACATAGTAAGTACATAGTAAAAGAAAAGGGGGTAATTTTTGCTTGGAAAACTGAAAAGTAAAGTGTTAGTTAAGGGGTTAAATGACTGATTATTTAAATTATGGCAAAGCAAATAAGGGCTACCTGCCTAAGGTTCTTTGTGGAAAGCTTTTTAAGAGAAACTGGCTCATATTCACATCACGTCTTACGAAAGCCACTGTAGACCATTATAGTAGTGTATTAGTAGGGAAAAATTTTCTTATTACATTATAAAAGCATTTTGGAATTACAGATAGAAAATATTTTTTTCATTATCTTTCTGGGAACATTAAAGCCATAGCTAAGGCTAGTTGAAGAGTTAAACATTAAACATGTTTATTGCATATATACAACTGACAGATATTTAAAATTATTGTTTTGTGGTCTTGCATCTGTAGGTGCTTAAAGATTAGAGGAAATTAACACATGTATGCAAATACTCATTTGCATATGTGTATTACCTACAGATTACTACAGATGCCAGATCAGAAAATATATATTTTATTAATTTTTTGAATAAGCTTATTGTGTTAAAATATCATTAAAATAAATTGGAACTAACTCACGATCCATAGCTTAAATTTTTTTTTGATAAATTACTTTGTTGGTTAGCTGTAGTAATTTTTTAACCAATTATAGACACAGTCTGCTGACCATATGGTTACGTTAACGCTTTGAGATTATTCATTGTTTTTTTTTTTTCGTGTGGTGGTGCAAGAATTAGTGGTCCATTTCATGGTCCATCCGTTTTGTGAATCCTCTCCTAACGAAGTAATAATAACCAAAAAAAGAAAAAACATTTTTAATTCGTATGTAGGATCCCTGAGGAAGATGAGAAAGCGATGCCCAGTACGCTATGAATAGAGCAAAGAAAGTAACAACATATTGCGATAATTGTAAGGGTAAGCCAGCACTTTGTTTAGCCTGCTTTAAAAAATTGCATGGAAAAAATTAATAATTATATTTAATTTATAAGTTACATTTTAAGTTATTAGTTTTGTATTGAATGTTTGACTAATGTTGAAATATTAATGTATACTGTTGAGTAATTAAAATAGAATAAAATTTTGTGCTACGTATTTTTTTATATACAAGCGTGACCCATCAGTGAGTCATGCCGTCCCGCAGAACAGACAAATACAGTCAGGCCGGCGACAGCGTGTTAAGCAGAATTTCTCTCTCATTCACCAAGAATTAAATTATTAAATTTCATGCATGTATCTGTTATTTTATGTGTACAAACTTGGACTAACTATTTGCCCCAAATCTGTTCCAGGTATTTTTTTAATTTCTTAGTTTCTTTCTCTGTAAGCTATCAGAAAACTTTTTTTTTTTTTTTTTTTTTGTAAATGCTATATTTATAAGAAATTTCTTATAATTTATCAAGCAAAGAATAATAAAATTATAGGTCCGTGTGTGAAAAATAATATGCTTTTGTGATATCATCACTTCTTCATCCACTGCCTCATAGAGAAATAACTCCACTTTCTTGTATTTTAAACATTTATTTTACAAACACAAAACTAATACTAAACTACAATACTAATAACTGAAATATATATAAAGTAATAAAAGTGAATTTCGGTTTCATTAATGGCTCCCACGAGCCTTCCGTATGACCTCTTTGTCGGTCTCCCTCTTGGAAACTAAACTTTTGGCGCCTCTCCAGACTGAGAGTTAACGCCCTCTATACATCTTGTTGGTTGGCGTCACCCATACATCACACCCCCCATCCAAGATTGAAATAGGGTGAAAGCCTATTGAAATATGACAAATTATGGTGACGTCAAACGAAAGAGTTACTTACCTACTAAAGTCTACAAATCAATCGATACTGAAGTTGAAAGATATATAACACAATACTTATACAGGTTAGTTCTACACCTACTACAAGACTTCTTCTAAAACTGTAATATATAAATGATTAAAAATTAGTATTCAAACAATTCTAATGCAATAGAATACTTAAAGCGTCTATGATATACTTAAAAGTCTCTAGGAGAGTAGCTGAAAAAGAAACATATAAAAAAATAATAATATTAAGAGTTCATAAATGTCTATGAAAAGTTCTTTCTTTCACACAAGTCACTCAATAGTCTCTAGTCTGGACAACGCATCAGCATTGCTTAACTTAGCACCTGGGCAATGTGAAATTGTAGTATCATACTTTTATAATGCTAAAGCCCATCTCCGTAACTTAGAAGATTGTGGTGCGTTCTTTGTGATACTTCCTTCTTTCTTTGTGATACTTTCGTTCTTTGTGATATCATCCCTTCTTCATCCACCGCCTCATAAAGAAATAACTCCACTTTCTTGTATTTTAAACATTTATTTTACAAACACAAAACTAATACTAAACTACAATACTAATAACTGAAATATATATAAAGTAATAAAAGTGAATTTCAGTTTCATAATTGGCTCCCACGAGCCTTCCGTATGACCGTTTTGTCGGTCTCCCTCTTGGAAACTAAACTTTTGGCGCCTCTCCAGACTGAGAGTTAGCGCCCTCTATACATCTTGTTGGTTGGCGTCACCCATACATCACAGCTTTCATAACATTATGCTAAATATAATACGGTAAACTGTTGTCCTGTACTAAGATCATCTGAAATTTCTTTTATTTTGCTAGTAGCATTATATTAAAGGAAAAAAGGATTTTTATTATTCTTGTTAAATATCTGTTATAACTTTAAAATCATTTTCTAATTCGAATTCTCAATTTTTATATTTTCTTTAGGATCTCCTGGGTCTACCTTTAAAAGCTCCGTTAACTTCATATGATGTTATGTACACATTACCCATGTTGACGATCAAAGATGACAAAGGTAAAGTCTCAGTGAGTATAACAAAAATAATAGTAATAAAGGAAGAAAAATAAAAAAAAGTTTTAAATTTTTCTTTTAATTTTGGAATAATTTTACACAATGTTGCATATCGTGTGGATTTTTCTCTCATATAAGAGTTTGTAACCATTTAGGTGAAATCATGACATACTTTATCTAACAGCATTAATTTCTTCACATCTCTGACTTTATGTATCTGAAACTTCATTACTTTGGTTACTTATGGAATAGACATATACTACTGATATGAAAAAACATCAGAAACGATTTATTTAAAATATGCATGCGCAAGAAATTACTGGCAGAGATTTGTCAGAAGATTTTACAATTTTCATCAGCATCTAGCATCAATATATATTTCAGTTCTTTTACCATTTACAAATAAATTCGTTTTTAATAAATGAATAAATTTGATTTGCTGATGACTGGCATCAGAAAATTTTTATTAGTTTGTGTAATGTCATTAAAATTGAAATGAAGTACAAAGACTAAGTCTTCTATTATCACCTACAAAAATTTTAATTATTCATAATATAAATATGTAGGTAAATTTTGTAAAGAAAATTTACTCTCTTCAATTATTTTTCTCCTTTCAGTTCATTAATAATTTTACAAATTTAAAGTAAAAGCTTATTTTATAAGTTTTTTTTTATTATTATTTTCTAAATTTTAAATTTTAAGATGTCAAAAAATAAATTAGTATTTTTAATGTTTTTATTATTTCTAGGAACTGGTGTTGTAACAAGTGTACCATCCGATTCCCCTGATGATTTTGCTGCCTTAAATGATTTAAAGAAAAAGCCAGAACTAAGAAAGAAATTCAATATCACAGATGACATGGTTATGAAATACAGTCCTGTAAGTTTAAATTGTAAGAAATTTGTAAATTTTTTTCTCTAATTTGCAAATAATGTTATACTTATTTCATGTCGTATTATTGCTTCATTTGAAATAATTTGCTTAGGTAATAAAATTGTGTTTTATGTGTTTGTTTCTCAGAAGTTACTTTTTTTAATATCAATGCATTAATAGCTATACTTAAATAATATCACTGACAGCCTTGTATTTGACATATCACTTCCAAGTTATTATTGTGCATTTTTATCTAGTTACATATATCTAATATCTAGGTTTTTTTTTTTTTTTTTTTTTTTTTTTTTTTTCTCTGTGGGTTAAAAACTGAGTACATTTGCATGTTGATGAATTAGAATTGAAGGAAGAAAGCAAAATATTAAGAGACTGACTGAATGATACCTTTGGCAATTAAGGAAGTAAAAGCACACAGGATTGTATTTAGATCTGCATGATGTTATAATTTAACTTGTCTCAATTTTATGGTAATTTTATATTAGCTTATTGTGTATTTTATTTAATTTTTAATTTACGCCCATTTGTGATGCTTTTTTGCATTTATTTCATTATTTCATATACAGTACAAAATCCAAGATCCGGACTCGTCAGGACTTTGGTGATTCCAGATTTGTGATTTTTCTGGATATTAGATCATCAGTTTAAATCTAGTAAGACAGCATGTAGAATTTAAAAAATTAATATGAAATTGTGATTTATGAAATAAAGAAGCGTTTATGATCTAAAGGATGTCAAAATTTACAAAAAAAGGCTCAGTATTTATTGTTTACTTTATTAAACATTTCTTTCAATGTAAGCTGTTTAAGTTGCTTCGATTTTTGTGCTAATACTTTCTCTTTAATTCCATAGACAGGTATAATTTCTTGTTCAGTTACAAAGTTCCGTTTTTTCACACCCTTTAATTATTGTGTCGAGAAGTCTGACCAACATATCAATCAAAATTGTTCATTTTCAATAACCTCTCTATCACTTTATTCTCTATTGGTAGTGGTATTTTCTGGATCTAGAACTTACTAAAGATTTTGCCTGTGTTAATTTATTGATAATTGGGGCGTTGTCGTCACAAAGAAAATAATATCATCATAATTTATTACCTCTTCTCCGCATGTCTTTACAAAATCCATTAATTAAAAAATTTCACCTTTGGTTTGCAATATCTAAAAACCTTCAGATTCGCTTTTATCATCTTCATCATACTCCTCACCATGAAATATGGTAGCTAGCCATAAATTTTGCCAAGCATTTTTTAAAGTATCTGGAGACACATCTTCCCATCATCTTGCAATGCACCACACAGCAGATTTTATGCTAAAATATTTCAAAAATTATTGAATAATCTTGCCATTGAAGAAAGCCATGTTAGAAAAAAGGAAACACAGAAGTCTTCTGTTGCTCAACACTGTTGGTCCGAAAATCACACTTTCAATTTTTCTGCTGCCAAAATTATTCAAAAAAACATCTTTCATTGGGGAACTGGATTTTCTAGAGGCATTTCACATTCAAAAAAATCTTTCTGTTCTAGTTAACGATCCTAATTCCAACCCATCTTTGCCTTTGGCCTTTAAAGAAATTATGTTTTAGTTCTGGTTTCACCAACAGATGGTGCCACTTGCTTATTCTTGCCCAGGCTTTCTTATTTATCTAATCACTATTTCCTATCTTGTTCATTTGCGGTTTTGCAGCTGAGGATGGTGGTTCGTTAAAACCATCGAAACTAGTCCTGTGAAAATTTTGAAAATATAATGCTGATTTTTGTTGTTTGACTTCTGAATTAGTAATTATGTAATAATTCAGTTGTTTTGGTAGCTATAAGCGTGTTCTGTTTTTGATGAGATATTTTATTCTCTACATTTAAAAATTTGTTCCATTATTTATGAATATTTTGTTGTGTATTTATTGTATCATATTTTGTGCTTACATTAATTCTGCATTAAAAAAATTCATCATAGATGAATATTTTAGTGAACTGAATACTTAAATGAACTGAAAGCTTAAAATTGTTTCATCTAGGTACCTATTCTTGAAGTTCCTGACTTTGGATCACTTTGTGCTCAAAGTGTTTGTGAGGAAATGAAAATCCAGAGCCAAAATGAAAAGGAAAAGCTTGCCACTGCAAAAGAGAAAATATATTTAAAGTCATTTTATGAAGGTGTAAGTAAATATCTTTTATGGATTTGGGAGTGAATTTTATAATTCTAAGTATATCTACTTTTAATTCCCAAGCATTGGGAAAATTATGCATTATTATTTAATTTGTGGTTCATTATTGAAGCGACTGCTGTAAATACAGAACTGACGGCTAGTAAAAAAATTTTTTAAAAATGCATATATATATATGTGTGTGTGTGTCTGTGTAAGAAAAAAATATATAGCTTTACATCAGCAGTAGTCCCTTAAAACCTCATTTTAATATGAGGTACTTCTTTCTTTTCTAAAAATAGTAATAACTCTTTCTAAAATATGCCTTTCAAACTTCATCTGTTTATGTAAACATGCACTGCAATGTGATGAAATCGCAGCCAGATTAGATAAATTTTTATTGTAAATACCACTCTTTTTAAATACGCATTTCTTTCCACTCTCCTCCTTCGCTTGTTGCTAACAAGCTTGTTTTGCAACACACTGCTTTTTTTGTTGTTAATATGTATCCTACTATATACAAAAATTGTGGTTTGCATCATGCACCCAAGAATAATGTGGACTACAAGAATGTTCACGAATAAATTGTGTTCTTTTCATCAAAACTATCTTCCTTATTTATTTTTGTGAATCTATGCATTTAGATCTCTACAAGTAATTTGGACGCTGATTAGCATCTCATTGTTTAATAGCAGTTTTCTAGATCTATGCTGCGATCTTCTAATATATCTAGTCTCTTGCTGAAAATAATCACATTATAATTTAGTCAATCTAAACGTCAAATTTTATTCCCCATTTGGATTTCAATAAATAGAATTAATTCAAATAAATGTGCCTCTTTATCTGCAATTCTAAAAGTTCCAATGTCTGATGAAATGCAGTGTGGAATTACTGCTACAGTTCTTAGTTAATTCAGTGTCAAATTTATTTTGGACACCTATTCAGTATTTAGAACTAGAGTTTTCTGTAAATAATTAGTGATTTAATGTTTGAAGTGACCAAACATTAGCCTCGATTTCAAGGTTAGCATTTTATGAAAATGCTTTCAACTACCTGCTCAAAGCAGTGTTCATCCACTTGATTTTTCTATGGTAGATTTATGGTTAACAGATTATGTGTGTGTATAACACAGCTCGTTAATTATTTTCTTTCAATATAACAATATAAAAAATAAAACATAAAAATTATTATTGATGGAATGAAAGCTTAACAATTCACTATTTTATTTAAAAGGTTTTGCATTTATAAACTTTGTGCATACACATAATTTCATTATTTTGCTGATAATATATAATTGTTATTTTTTCATTTCTATGAAGTAATTTATTAACCAATTCTGGTAATTTTGAATTTAGTATATAAGGGTGTTTTTCTTACTATACTGTACTGAAATTAAAAAACAAAAATTATGGCACTGTGTAATGTAAATATAAAGATAAAGTTTTATGATATTAGAATTTCGAAGTTTACTAATTTGGTTTAACAAATTTAAAGATTTTTAAGATTTTAGATAGGGAGGCTTACTTACATGATTTATATATATTTGTGTTATTGTTTAATTATCTTGTCTATATCTATTTTTGTGTTATTGTTTAAAATCTTGTAATATCTAGTTGTTAAGCTTACAGTGTGACAGCTGAAGTAAATACAGGAACCAGACAAGAGAAGAGTTAAAAGAACTCTTTATTCAATTCTTTAAAATTCACAATGCATCAACGCTAACAAACTATGCCTTGCTTGGGCAGTAACTCAACTAACAAGAACTAAATTTGAAATTCAAAGTTATTAACAAAACAGTATAATTCTCCTCAGGTCTCAGATAATCCTGTTACCTAAAACTGCATCTAAGTCTAGTGGCAGCAAAGAAATAGCAATTATGCCACTTTAACCAACAATATAGGCAGAATCAGAAGCTCACACTACAAATGTACAGTGCTTACCCGATGTTTTCTAACTTTCCCTTCTAGAACTCAGTATTTAAATCTTTTCTCCTAATGGTAGAATTTGCATTCCTTCATGCGCGCTACCAAACATAAATATTCTGACTTTGACAATTAGGGGAATGAAGGCTTATAGGAAAGAAAGCATAAACTTAACTGGTTATTCAAAATAAATATAAATCCCTACAACCTTTGAAATAATATTTGGAATTTTTGAATTATTGCAAGAATTAAGGTTATTGCTTTAAAAATTTTAGTTCTAGGAGTTTCTAATTATTTTGAGAATGAAGTAAATACACTCACGTTTGTGAAAATTGCAACACCATGAAGGACTTACGCGAGTGAGCTGAAATTTTCAGGAAATGCAAAGTAGCGCATGATATGCAAATGATTAGAATTGCAAATCCGTAGCGCATGCGTATGCTGAGCAGCGCCCTCTGAACGGCTGATGGATCCGAATAAATAGACGGCTGTAGCGAGGCGTGTATGGTTATCGGTGGTTATCTGCTAGTGGTAAACGTTAACTCAATCTGTACTTATGGCTCGTCGACGAAAGAGAGCGAGATTTGAACAACTTACAGAGTTTGAACGAGGGAGAATCATCGGCCTTCGTGAAGCTGGATTGTCGTATCGTGCAGTAGCCTTCTCGTGTGCAGCGTAACAGCAGCACAGTGATGCGCGTTTGGAAGCAGTGGACGGACAAGTGTCGGACAACTCGGAAATCCGGGAGTGGACCCCGAAATGTGACGTCAGCTCGCGATGATAGACACCTGGTCCGCATGGCGCGGACGGACCGTACAGCTTCCTCTAGACAATTGGCAGCACTGTGGTCAATAGCTACAGGTGTTTCATTGTGTGCTTCATCAATTCGTAGACGTCTGCTGCAGTGTGGACTGCGCGCACGGACTCCTTTATACAGGATCCCCCTAACGCACGACCATCGCCGCCTGCGGCTACAATGGGCCAATCAGCATAGAGACTGGCGTGCTGATTGGCAGCATGTCGTGTTTCTGACGAATCCCGCTTTAATTTGTGGTACCATGATGGCCGCATTCGTGTCAGACGCTATGCCGCTGAACGCCACCTTCCGGAGTGCATTATCGAACGCCACAGTAGATGAACACCCGGAGTTATGGTCTGGGGCGCCATAGTATATCATAGACTCAATTGCTACGAATTGTGGGCAATCTGAACAGCAACCGGGTATATCCGTGAAGTTCTTCAGCCCGAAGCTGTTCCCTTCCTTCAAAGCTTGCCAGGCGCTGTATTTCAACAGGACAATGCCCGCCCTCATACTGCTCGGATTGTTAAATCCTTCTTTGCAGCGCAGCAGGTACAGCTTTTTCCTTGGCCTGCGTGTTCCCCGGATATGTCGCCAATTGAACATGCGTGGGATGTCATTGGTCAGCGTCTTGCTCGTGATCCTCGTCCTGTTGCGTCTGCAGACGAACTTTGGGTACGCGTACAAACGATATGGAATGCTCTTCCCTCAGTCAGACATTCAAACTTTGTTTGACTCCATGCCACGTCGTGTAGCAGCACTTATTGCAGCGCGTGGTGGCCATACAAAATACTGATTCTGATCTCTTGTTCTTGTTTGTTTGCTTTGAACATTTAATCATTTATTTGTACCACTACCACTCAACTGTGTATTAAATTGCATTCATTTATGACGATTCCTTCTTGGTGTTGCAATTTTCACAAACGTGAGTGTATAAACTTTGAAGGCTCTCATGGTATGAAAATCACTAAATTTTTCATATATACTATTATTATTAATGGAGGGAAGTTCTCCTCTCCCTTTTTTTTCCTGTACAATTCCGGATTAGGGGGTTTTCCAGATTATAGGTCATCAATTTAAATCTAGTAAGATGGTATGCAGAAATTATACAATTAAAAATGTGAAACTGTAATTTATGAAATAAAGAGCAATTAAGATCTAAAGGGTATCAAAATGTACAAAAAAAAAAGCTTAATATTTATTTGTTTACTTTATTAACCCTTTGCGACACGCATATTTAAAAATATATTTTAATCTTTAAAAAAATGCCTTAGAATAAGTCAGATGGACTTACTTAAGTGCCTTTAAAGCTTGAAAAAAATTCTGCGCTTTATTTTTTACGGGGTAAGGTGGGATACCGTTTGTCCCACCATGCAACTAGCACATTTCTTATAGCATATTGGTGTATAGCAGGAAAAAAAAATCATATGTGGAATGAATAAAACAAAATAAAGTGTGCATTCTAAAATATTCATAATAAACACACTAAAATACATTTTGTACTTATTGCATAATGCATGACTTGTAAAATTTTGCATATATATGTTATATATTTTTTAAATTTTAGGAACAAAAGAAAATATTTCTTGAATATTATTTTAAGATTAAAATTTGATACTCGTACATATGATACTAAATAAAATATTAAAATTGGCACTTGATTCAAAAACATTTATATATGATTAAAATTGAAAAAAGTCATTTTTCATGAAACTTTGAAAAACATGTTGTTTCATTCTTTTGTAAGCATAGGAGGCACTTCACATGTTTCACACATCCAAAATGTTCGTCGTTCTTCTTTCGATGTGCTGCAATATGCACATCTTCTGCTGCTCCTTCTCTTTGGTGTGTGACTTACATTTTTTAGTCTCTTTCTGGTTGTACGAAACGGTTTTTTAGTTTTTATTTGAACTGGGGATTTCAGTTTTCTTTTTTTCAGCTCTTTCTTGCCTGCAAGTGCCATTAGACCTTCTATAACTGAGAGACTAAAATCTTTCATTGTTTTTACATCATGATCGGGTTCGCGAACAAACTTAAATAGAATAAATGTGTTTACTATACTCGCATGTAAAAAGGAAAAAAATATCCTGTGCCACCATTTCTTGCTTTTGCGGTCCTATTTCATATAGTCCTTTCAGTTGATCAAATCAAGTCGACATATCCCATATTCTTATTGTATGAAATAATGCTGTTTTGGGCACAGTACTTTTTTTTTGTTGTTGTTGTTATTGTTTTTCCATCTCGTTCTTTTCTATTAATTTCTTTCATTTCAGTTGCCTTTTCCAAGCA